TCGTGGACTTCAACTCCCAGAATTCCTGAGCCAGCCACGCTGAGGGGAAAGGAGGTTTCCAAGCTGAGCCATGCTGGCTCAGGAATTCTGGGAGTTGAAGTCCACGAGTCATTAAAAGAGCCAAGGTTGCCTACCCCTGTACTAGACTCTGTGCAAATTATATATGGAATAACAATAGTCCTGCTTAGTCCTTTCCCAGTTAATCAGCTTTCTACCATCCATCTTCCTAATCCCCAAATGTGGAAGGAACTTTTATTGCATGTGACCTTGCGAGGGCAGAGGAATTAAAAATAGCCCTTCTGAGCTACTGTCCAATTCCCTGTTAATTTGGAGCTGGGCTGTTCTTGGCTACTTCAAGTGGTCCTTCACTATATCCAAGCTTGTTTCAACAAGGAAACAAGGACAGTTCCTTTCTCCTTTCAAGTGAATGAAGCAGGCAAAACAACACTGAAGAGCAGTCTTTCTTTCTCTAATGGAGGAAGGTATCTTTGAATGTGTTGCTTCAAAGGCGGCACCAGGCTAAGCATTTCTCTCAATTCTGGCCGTGCCCAACACTGAATAATGTGGTATTGGCAGAATCCATTGAATCTGTGACAAATTACCTACTATTTTTTTTTATATTTTTGTCTTCTGCCAAGGAAGTTTTTTTCCCCCCTTAAAAGTGAGAACACTCCCAGAGGAGCACACTGAAAATTCAATGTTCCTCCTCTGGAAAATAGCTAAGAGCTGTCAGTGGGTGCCAGAGGACTTCTTCAATTGGAACTGAGGCCATTCTAAATTAATCTCTAAGGTTGCCTGATCTATTAACCTTTCTGTTTGCTTGATAGTATGAAACAGAATAGAATTAACAAATAAGCCTGGGCAGGCTGAGAGCAACTAATGGTGCCTCAAAGATTAATGATCCCAATCGCACCACTTACACGTGGCACATTATCTCACTGAATTCTGCAGATAGATCCATTTAGATAAGGAAGAAGGACTGAACTAAAACCTAGATCTGCACTGTGCAATCTAAGGGGAGTGAGATTTGCTATGACTTGCATCCATTGTGCAAAATTCTTGTAGAACAACAACAACAAAAAGATGTAAGGGCTGGGACCAGACAAGGAGAGTGTTTTTTCCTCCTTCAATTGGATGTGCAATCTTAAGAGTCATATGGCGTTGATCCTAAGTTTCCATGAAACCTCTAGCACAGGGGTGTCAAACTGCCGGCCCGTGGGCCGGATGCATCATAGCGAAACCGCGCCCACCCCATTGCCAGCAGTGGCAAAAAAGTTGCTATATGTCGCGACATGTCACATCACCAGCTTGACACCCCTGCTCTAGCAGGAAATGGAAAATCCCTCTTCTACACGGACTCCCTGGCTCACTTGTTGAAGGTCAGTGGACCTAAAGCCTACTCACCCACATCACTACGTTGGCTGTTCTTGTCACTAGGCAGCCGGGCATAGGCTGTGTAGTGCCCACCAATTATGCCCCCGTAGTGATTGATCACTGCATATAGATCATACATGGGCAACTGCTGCTCATCCTTCTGGCCAATGCAGAACTTGCTCAGGTCCAAGCTCCTGAGGAGAGAATAGAGCAAGTTAAGAGACAGCTGCATACTTTATGCCTAATTCCATTCCTATCTTTTTTTTTCTTAGAGGCAGCCCAGTCTACCAGCTGACATTCTTTATTGAGAAAGTTTTCATTGTCTCTTTATCTGGACTTAAACTCAGATCAATACAAGCCATACAATTACAGATGACTGAATATAGCAAGGGACTCTCAGTGGCAGCCATTGGATCATATATACAATGCTGGACTGGTTTGGAGGAATTTTGAGAGCAAAATAGATCCGTTATGTCCTGCAGTTGCAGAGATCCTATTTTGTCCTTAGAACTCCTTCCAAAACTAGGCAGAGACTTTATTCCACCTCAACAAGCCAGGCAAAGTTGGGGGTTGCCCTTTTCTTGCAAGGGCTGCACCCTCTTGCCGTAGAGACTAAAGTACTAGAAGGGCCAATGGCCTTATTCAGCGTATGGTTGATATGTCCTGCCCAAAGTGGAATGTCAGCATTGCACAAAGACACTCAGCTGGCTTTTTTACTTTCCGACTGGTTTGTCTACTCCACAATCATGCTCAAACAGGGCAAGCTATGGAGTGACCAACATTACTTCTGAGGTCATTCACTTTACGAAACGTGCTCCAAAACCTCCCCATTTAATTCCTGGAGAGAGAAAAATCTAGTGGGTGGGAATGATGGGAAAAATGAACTCGGCTCGTTTGTTTCAAAGTGAGGAGATTTCAAACAGTAGAGAAATCGCTGCTACAGAAAGAAAGGACGTTTATGTGAAGTTGTTTTTTCCAGTGAGCCTTCTTTCACCAAATAAATGGTGAAAGAATATATATATATTCCTGCAGCAGCTTTGATATACACATTGCCATCCTGTCCACAAGCTGAATCAAAGCAACGGTGCAGAGTTTAATTCAGCTCCAAAGATTAGATTTTCCTTGGCTCCTGTGGTTGTTACCTCAGAGGCAGACTATGGGTAGACCTTGCCTTTTTGTTATCCTTTTGTTATCATTTTCTCTATTCTCTTATTTCCTCCCTCTTCACGAAGGAAGTAGAGCCTTTCTCCATATGAAGGAAGATAAGAAGAGATCGCTCTCTCCTTCCTCTTCCTCAGATGGCCTTCAAGAAGAAAGGCAAGGTCTCTGTGGGCCAGAGGCAGGCAGATCTTCTTTAAGTCTCTTTAAGTCTCTTTCCACATTTACTCGCCCTTCAAAATGGTGTCGTACAGCACCCAACTTCCAATACCAGAAAGATCAAAGGCACAGAACCAAGGGGAACGAGTTCACCAAAAGACTGACAATCTCTTTATGTGTTAGGTGAGTTGGTCCTGGATTTATGACAAAGCCCAAATAGGATAACCCATCCTTTGCTACTCAGAAAGGTCCTATCCGAAGAATTGCTTGGGTCTCCGTGACGTTAAAGAGATGAGTAAAGCGACACACCTTGCCGTAACCTCACCTGACTGGGAAATCCACCATGTCGTTGATCTTATCTCTCCAAATAAAGCTGCGGAAGGAAAAGCGCTTGAGCTGTATGATGAGGATGTTGGGCAGACGCCATAACATCAGCTGCTTGGATGCCTCACGGTGCTGCTTACACTTTGGGCAGTACCTGTGGAAAACGGGGCAGGTAGAAAGACAAAGCTAAAGAGTGCTGGTATTCTCACTAAAGAAAACCAGCACAATGGCCCTTGGAGCACCCACCTCAAAAAAAAACATGTCTAGCACCACAGAGTTTTCTGGAAAAAAAAAGTGGGTTCTATTTGAAAGGGCCATTTGATTGGTTTCTGATAACTGGTTCATTTTTAAGTCTTATAATTGTAAGAATGTGCAATATTGATAGTGAATTCTATATTTTAGAATTTTATATATCTTGCAAACATCGTAAGTGGTGAAGTCAAGCTAATGCTAGTACCGCAAAAAGCGTGTTGGGGGGTGAGTCTCCTGTGGACCCCAGCAAGGCCCCCTCCTTTGTGGAGCCCAAGAGTAGGAAGGGCCAAAGGTGTGCCCCCCTTTTTTTTGCAATCTGGGGTTCAGAGATAATAATAATAATAATAATAATAATAATAATAATAATAATAATAATAATAATAATAATAATAATAATAATAAAGTTGGAAGGGACCTTGGAGGTCATCTAGTCCAACCCCCTGCTCAGGCAGGAAACCCTATACCATTTCGGACAAATGGCTGTCCAGTTTCTTCTTAAAAACCTCCAGTGTTGGAGCATTCACCGCT